TAAGTCCCTTCCGGGGCTGTTGACTCAGAGGCATGAGGAGCCCAAAGTAGCTGGTGACAGTCTCAACTTCCAATTCAATAGAATCATCATTATGTAACCTTGCGGAATCATTCCTCCCTTGGAAGTAAGACCTTTAGGCAAGCAGAGTATAAATCATAGGGAAAAGAAGCAAAAATTTTGCTAATGGTATCACTCCAATTTCCATCCTCTGATTACTGAACCTGAGAATCATGGTTATTAGAGAAACAGCATCATATATTTGATGCTGACTCAGAGAATACATACAACCTTCTGGAGAACCTTGCCCAAGCCCTGCATTGCTACCTAGTTGGTGTTGTAACTGAGTCTTCAAAAGGCCATGTCACGATTCTGTCAAGTCAGCGGCTTTAGGATAGTGAAGAATATGGCTAGACCATGAGCATGGCCCACTACTGCACTTCTTTGACTGTGAGACTAAGTTCCTTAATCAGAAATAATGTTATATGTAATACCATGATGGAGGATAATGCATTCTGTAAGTCCACGGATGGTCGTTTTGACAGAAGTATCATGTAGAGGGAAGGCAAACTTGTATCCCATGTAAGTGTCTTTCCAATAAAGACAAAATGCTGCCTTTTCCAAGATGGAAATGATCCAATGTAGTCAAGCTGCTGCCAAAAGCTGGCTGATCACTGGAAATGGTGTCATATCAGGAACCCAGTCTTGGTCTCTGCTGCTGGCTGACTGGGCATTCAGTGGAGGCTGTAGCCAGACCAGTCTTGGTGAGTAGAAGTCCATATTGCTGAGCCCATACATAATCTCCAACCGTGGTCGGCCACATGGGAGTCCAGCATAGTTGGTGTTGTAACTGAGTCTTCAAAAGGCCATGTCACGATTCTGTCAAGTCAGCGGCTTTAGGATAGTGAAGAATATGGCTAGACCATGAGCATGGCCCACTACTGCACTTCTTTGACTGTGAGACTAAGTTCCTTAATCAGAAATAATGTTATATGTAATACCATGATGGAGGATAATGCATTCTGTAAGTCCACGGATGGTCGTTTTGACAGAAGTATCATGTAGAGGGAAGGCAAACTTGTATCCCATGTAAGTGTCTTTCCAATAAAGACAAAATGCTGCCTTTTCCAAGATGGAAATGATCCAATGTAGTCAAGCTGCTGCCAAAAGCTGGCTGATCACTGGAAATGGTGTCATATCAGGAACCCAGTCTTGGTCTCTGCTGCTGGCTGACTGGGCATTCAGTGGAGGCTGTAGCCAGACCAGTCTTGGTGAGTAGAAGTCCATATTGCTGAGCCCATACATAATCTCCAACCGTGGTCGGCCACATGGGAGTCCAGCACCTTAACAACTACATCACCTGCTGGCCCCAGTAGGTCTTAAATGACAAATCACTCTAACATTTCAATCTAAACCTAAACCTTTGAGTCCCTTCTACATTAAACCAGGGGAAATCAGGCATTTTCAATTCAACCAGGGTGGGCCATCTTTTGATCCATGTTTCAGACCACCAACCAAATAGTTAGAACCTTTTCTAACTCCTTAAACTGAAATATTAAATTCAGAATCTTGGCTTAGTGAACTCATGTCAATAAATTCAGCCTGATCCAACCTTATTTCCTTTCACTATTATTCCATCCTCTCAATAGCCTATACATGTTTCCTGGATTTGTTTGTGTAAACTACAAAACTGAGTAGTTCATTTGGAGTGTGGCACATATTCTCATATCTCTGTCAGTCACATTTTGTGCCTGCATCTAGGAGGCCTGCTGGGACTTGAGTTTAGTTATACCTCTAGAAACAAAGGGTCCTGGGGATGAGTCCTAAAGAATCAGTATTGTCTTGCTTGGCAATTGCCTGGGGGAGATCTTCACTGTTTCCTGGGGCAATTCAGGTTTAATCCCTTCAGACAAGGAGATAAAACCATTTTTGCTGGAGGTAAAGAGTAGTGAGGCCATTTTCCACTAGCAAAACATACTTATCAGAATTAGGTGTTCAATGTTCCCAGACCCATAAGAGTCTTCATCAGGGTCTTTCCAACTTACAGGATCCCGTTCTTAGCCCTTGCTTTACCAATAGACACTCTACAAGGCTGGAAGTCAACCTACATTGTAATTCAGCCAATCACAGGATGAAGTTGTACATTTGATTTTCAGAAATTTAAGCCCTATAGCTACAGGCTATAAGGCTTTCCTTCAGGGTGCACCTTGAAGCTCTTAGATCATTTATGCAGAGCTTGAGCTGGGAATCAAATCCCTAAGCTCATCCTTCTCTTTCACTGCTTTCTCCAGAGATATAAGGAGCAACTAGCCAACCTTAGTTTTCCTAGAATGCTTGAAAATATCATGAAAAGAGTCACTTAGACCCTTGCTTCTTATAAGTGGTCAATTAAGAATATCCAGTACAGGTACTTCGTGTATCTCTGTATAAAAATAGTTCGTGCCGTGGACTACCAGTGCACTCTCTACTACGAGGAATAGACTCATTAGCATCTTTACATCTAATCACATTAGAGAGCTAACCAGAAAACCTAGAAGCAATTCAGAAAACTCATCCTTAAAATTCTGCTCCACTGTTAGTACTAAAATGTTCTATCTTAGTCCATTTGGGCTGCTATAACAAAGTCATCCAAAAACTAGATGGCTTTTATATAACATACATTTATTTTCCACAGTTACGGAGTCTGGGAAGTCACGATCAAAGTGTGGGCAGATTCAGTGTCTGGTGAAAGCCTATTTCCTCATAGATAGCTGTCCTCTCACTGTAACTTCCCATGCTAGAAAGGTGATGGACCCCTCCAGAGTCTTTTTCCTAAGAACACTAACCCCATGCATGATGGCTCCTCCCTGATGACCTGACCACCCTCCAAAAGATCCACCTCCCAATACGATCACCTTGAATGTTAGGATTTCAACACATGAATTTGAGGAGTACAACACATTCAGATCATAGCAGCATATAGCCAGGCCTAGACAATTAGCATAACCCATCCTTCCTGTTACATGTGACATAGGGTCCTAAGAGATTTGAGGTCCTGCCACTAGGTAGTTACCATGCTCCCATAAGAGAAAAGCTTTCCTGAAAATAAAACCAACACAGAGGAAGGCTAAGCCAAGAAATGGAAACAGATGCTCCCAAGAACCTTATTTAAGCACTTTGATCACTCTGCCCAAAGCCAGATGTACTCTTGGGCTTTGCCGTTTCAGGGGCCGAAAACGTTCCTTTTAATATAAGCCAGTTTGAGCTGTGTTTCTGCTTAGGCAACAGAAAAATTCAACAGATACAGACAGAATATAGGAAATACCATCCGCTTGGCTGCAACTTCAGTATCAAGTCTCAGTCTGCATGAACATTCAGAGTTACATAATAGATTCTAGCAATCTCTCCAAACTTCCCTGCCTGTTTTCCTAGAGATGAAAGAAGGAATTGCTCTAAAAGGGCCAGGGAATGGAATCTAAAAAATGGTCCCAACCTTCAGCTCTGCAAATAGACCTGCAAGGATTTGGTTGTTCCATGTTGCTTAACCTCGAGTACCACATTTTTAAGCACAAGCTATAGAGCATTCATATTTCTATGGCAACAGGTATCTCCCCCACCACCACCATTTGCAGCAAAATGGCACATGGCACTTGTAGAAGGCTAGCAGAAGTTAAAGAAATTCAATGACAAAAGGTATTTATTACTCACTAATTATGTTAGCTCAGGTCATCATTAATAAGAACAGTTACAGAAACAAAGCCAATGTGGAAAATTCCAGAGGTGAACCAACACAGAAACAAAATAAGAGAATTAGGAGTGATGGCTGCTGCATATGGGGGATGCTGTACACAGTTCATTACTGGACAATTTCAGCTGTATGTAAAATAATATCCCAACAATGAGATTTTATCCAAAGGAGCTTCTAACCTCACATATCCAGTCTGGGGACAAAAGGGCCCAGAGTAAGCTCAGCAGCTCATCAATAGTATCAACTACTCAGGTTCCTCCAACCCTTCCACTCTGACACACTCAGAACTCCAGCAATGTGTCTCCACAACTCCAAGTATCAAATCATATCTTCACACACACGCACACACACACACACACAGTCTAAAAGGACAAAGAAAGAGATGCTCCCTTTTCAGAAAGGAAAAATCTTCCTAGAAGCCCTGTCTGGCCTTCCTCTGAGGTTCCACTAGCAAGATTGGGTCACATGCTCATTTGCTAGCTAGGGAGCATGGGAATGTATTACATTTTCAGCTTCTGCCAGAAGAAAGAAGATGAGAGCTGTGAGTGGCAATTGTGTAGGCAATCCACTATGTACCCCAAACGTTAGATAAACTTATACCAAAATTTTTGCCATATATATCACCCATCCTGTCACTCACTTAGTATTTTCCTTAAATCAATTTATCTTCTCTTTAACTCAACTATCTTTATTTAGGTAGGAAATTGTATATCCTTCCATAAATGCACTGCCTCTGCTAGATACATTTTCTAATCCACATTAAGATAAATACATAATGGTTAAAACAAAAACTGTCTGTCCATTTCATCTACAAGCATCTCTTGTTGTAGTGACAGTATCCATACTTTGGGATGCACAGTAATAGGGTAAACTCATTTCCTCCTAATCCCTAGGCCCTGATATTAAGAACTCCCTAGCACAGAACATTGTAAATATGCTGTAAAATATATTGCAAAGTCCCATCAAAACTACCTGTGTACAGAAACACTGACAAGTAGGCCTCTGCCCATCACTCTGTGCTTTAGCTATAAAGGTGAAGACATTCAGCAACATCCCAGAGAGGAACTAACTCATTTCCTATCCAGTCACTTCTCCTCTCAAAATGTTTGTTTTGGTTTTCCCACTACAAGGAAGACTGTCTCCAGGGTGGCAGGGTCCACCACCTGCCTTGGAAGGAGAACATCCCCACTTATTTGTCTAAACATGATCACTCACACTTACCCAAAAGGTGGCATGGACTGTGGACAGAGAAAAGTGACTACTGCCCAGTACTTACATCAGAGGCTGGGCCCTTGTCAGCGCCAGGGCAGGAGAACGTGACAAACTCATGGCACCGCTTGTGCACAACAAAGCAGCAAACTGCAAGAGAAAAATAAGGGTGGGAGGAAAGGGAGAGGGAAAGTGGAGGGGAGGAAGAGACAGGGAGGAAGAGGCCATTACATCTGGACTTCATTGACAAGTAAAAGGCTCACACCAAAATAAACAATAGCGTCAGCATCTGCATCTTGTCCTTTCTGAAGTCAAACACAGGGGTACACAGAGGTTGCATCTTGCCCAAGAATGAAACTTCCAAAGTTATCTAAGATTCAAAAGACCACATATACTCAAAGTTGCACTCTCTTGAAGGTTTCTTTAAATACCTCGTCTTTTATTAGTTTTGGAACAGAATGTTATATCTTAGATCAGGCAGCAGATGAGTAGTTGGCTTGTCTTTAGATACACAATGCAGAAAAAATATAGACCTGTAAACACTAGTTACACTTAGACAGGTATTGATAATATGAGGGACATAAATGACTGAGTGAGCAGGGGCCAGTAGGTGGCATGATGTTTGAGGGGCTGGACTCTCATGTGGCCAACCAGGGTTTCAGTCCCAGGCCTGGCAGCTTGCTTTCTCTCTCTCTCCCTCTCTCTCCCCCTCTCTCTCTCTCTCTCTCTCTCTCTGGTGAGCATACAGGCCCTATAGCAAATTTAAATAATAATATTAATTAATTTAATTTAATTTTATAATTCTTAAAAAGAAAGAAAGAAATTGAATGAATAGGAATGGCAGTTGCACACCTCGTTTCACCAAGAGTAATGTTGAAGCAGAAGAGTGAAAGAAAAAGGCGATAAAGTTCACACCGTAGTTAACAACCAACTACATGCAGTCGTTTGCCATATGCAACGTTTCCGTCAAGGACAGACCACACATCCAACAAAGGCCCCGTGCAATTATAATGTTAGAATGGAGCTGGAGACATCCTTGTTTCTACTCTAACCTTTTTAACCTAATCATAATTTCTTGGCATCTGATGTGAAATGGAAGTCTAATTTGCCATTTTTTTCTTGAATAGGTAACCCATTGTACCAGCATCCTTTATTGAATATTCCATCCCTTCCCCACTGATTTCAAATGCCACCTTTATTATATGTTCAATAATTATATACACTGGGGTCTGTCTTAAGGCCTTCTGTTCCACTGATCTGCCTTGTAGTACAGCAATACAGGTTTTAATTATAGTCGCTTTATAATATGTTAAATTTTGGCAGGGCAAGTCCGCCCTCATTATCCTATTTTCAACATTTTCTTGGCTATCACTAGATGTTTGTTCTTCCAAGGAAACTTTTTTAGAATCAATTCATCATGATTTTTAAAATACCAATGGAATTTTTATTGGAATTATTATTTAGTTTTTCATTGCCTTCTAACAAATGATTAGGACTTTAAAGTTGTCTTAAATTTAGGAGTTAAATTAATAATAATTAACACGTTTACAACAATGGGTCTTTCCACTAGGAATTGATTGTCCCCTTGTCAAAATCTTACGTCTTCCAATAGTGTCTTTAATTTTCACCACAGATGTCTACCACATTCTCATTTACTATCATCTGAGAGATTCCCTTTTGTAATCCTTTGGTGAATCTGACTTTTTTGTGACATTTAGTTTCCCAACTGGTCATTTCTTACAAATAAGAAAGCAATCGATTTTTAGTGTATTTATTTTATAAACTTTTTAAAATCTGATTTATTTCCTTTTTTTTTGGAGAGGTTTTTGCTATAGAGTGTGTGCACTCTCCAGAAAGACAGAGAGAGACAGAGAGACAGGAAGCGAGAAATCACCCACCAGGGGGATGGCCACACCGCAATCCCTTCTCCTCCATTCTCCTCTCAGGATCCTGGGCACACATGCACATGCACCTGGCATGAGTTTAAGCCACCAGGTCCAGAACTCGAACTGCAGTCGACTACATGGGAGTCCAGTGACATAGTCATTACACCAACTGCTGGTCCCCCTAAATTGATTTCTTTCTTCAGAGGGCAGGAGGCACCCCCAATAAGGTCTTCATGCTACAATCCATCCTCAGCCTCGGTCAGCCAGGATCATGGCATGTATGCACCCACTGTGCTCAGGAAGGTCCCTGGACACGAACTCAAGTCCTTTCCCTGGTGAGTCTAGTTGCTGCTACCATGCCACCACTTGACTTTTTTTAAAAACTCATAATAGTATTTGTGCATTTTCAGTTGCTTGTTTTGAGTTTTCCAGGTGTCAAAACATATTATTCCAAATAATAACATATTTCTTTTCTCCTTTCTGATAGATATGCCTCTTCTCCCCTCCACCTTATTTTCCCAAATTTGAAACTTTTAGAACAATGTGAAATAGAAGTGCTGAGAGCAGAGTTCTGTCCCATTCCTGAGGTTTCTCCAGCGTCACCCTTCCCCCACTCCCTACATTTCAACCACATAGGAAACTTTCTCACTTTTTTTTCAAATTAACTTTTGGAATTCGGATTTTCTTTAGAAATTTTTTTCTGGACTGATGTATTTGTATTAGTTATTGCTTAGGAATATGAATTCTGGAGTCAGATGGCCAGTTTGAATCCTGCATCCATCATTGGCAAACTATAAGGGTCGGGTACACTATCTTATCTCCCTGTGCTTCAGTTTTGTCTCTGAAAAATGACAATGGTAATACAAGTACTCATAGCGTTGTCCAGATGAAATGAGTTAGTCTATGCCTAGAACTAGGCCTACCATTCATGACTGTTCAACAAATGTCTGCTCCTATGTGCCTATAATTTACTGTTCTTTCTAAAGCTCCTTTCAGTTCATTTATTTCTATTCCGCTTCATTCAAAATTTAGAGATTTTTAAGGTAAAAATCTTTCTTTCAAGTACAGTTTTGGCAGCATCCTATTTTTTTTATATTTAATGCCATTATCATTTTAAGTTTCCAAGTGATCCATTCATATGGTGTTAATTTCTTCTTTGACCCCAAACTGTTTAGGTAAGTGTCTCTCCCCCCACCTCCATTTCCAAGTAATTGCTTTATTTTAGAAACTTTCTTCATGGGGCTGACAGGAGGCATGGTGGTTAAGGATGCTGGGCTCCCACATGGTTGACCGTGGTTCAAGTCCTGGACCTGGCAGCTTGCTTTATCACTTTCCCTCTCTCTCTCTTGCTCTGTTCCTTTCTGGTCAAATTAAAAATAAATAAATAAATGAATGAATAAATAAAGTTAAATAAAATAATTCTTTATAAAAGAAAAAGAAACATGTTTTTAAACATCCAAAATATCAATTATGATCTTATTTATCCTTATCCCCTTTGTGGGAGGCCAGGAAGTTTATGTATAGTTTCCTAGTATCTACCATAATTCCTATTACATAATTGATATTTAATAAATAAATGTTTGATGGATGAATAAACAAAAGAATGCACATCAGCATTCATAGAAAAGGGAGAAAACACAGTCAGCTTGATGGAAGATGTAGCTCCTGATTGGTCCTTTCACATTCCACCTCTACAGGCCGTGGTGTTAACACATCAGTCATTGACAAGGTCTTTTTAGATGGCCTTCCAATTACCCACAGAAATAAATACTTATCGAGAATCCCTAATTCAAACTCTGACACTTTTTGAACACCAACATAATGCCACAAGTGGAAAATTCCACACCTGATCTCATGAGATGGGTCATAGTCAAAACTATATGCAAAAGTATTATATAGAGTTACCTGCATGTGGATATGGTGTATATAAAACATAAATGAATTTCATGTTTAGACTTGAGTCCCATCCTTAAGAAATTTTGTTATGTATATGCAAAATATTCCAAAATATGAGAAAATTTGAAACTCAAAATACTTCTGGTCCAAACATTTCAGATACACTACAGAATATTACTCAGTCATAAAAAAAAATAAAAATAAAAATAAAATCTTGGCATTTGATAGAAAGTAGACAAATATGGAAGATATACTGCTAAGTGAAGCAAGCCAGTCAATGAAAGAAAAGTACTGTATGTCCCCACTCAATATATACCAAATGTCAGCACTCTATAGCAAAAACTGAATGATTGCCCTATAGCAAAAGAATCTCTTAAAAAAATAAAAAAGAAAAGAAAAGAAAACCTAAATGATTGGAAGAGATAAAAACATGGAAAGTAATGATGATACTGGAGACAGTGGGAGGTGAGGGGGAATAGGGGAGGGTGAGAAGGAGGGAATCAAGGGAAAAAAGAAAGAAGCAAAACGTTTAAGGGACCCAAGATGGAAAGAAATCTGTTGATTATAATGCTTATGGTAATGTCTTTTACTGGACCAATATGCAGCATATTCATGATGGGAAAATTCATTTGGTATGCTATAATGATACACAGTGATTAAATGTATAAATTTTTTTTAAATTAAAAAAAAATTCTTAACCTGTTATCCATCCCCACTGAGGAGCCATCAATATGCCAAGTGGCTTGACTATACCCAACATTCTCTACAGAGTTGCTGGAAGCAGACTTTGGAAGGCTGATGAGATTCTGGTGCAGGTACTTCCTTTACGCAATGTGTTTCTGAAAAGTTGTGCAAATTGAATTTCCCATTAACTAAAACACTTTAAAGAAAGTAGTAAGACTTGCTATTTAAAGAAACAAACTAAATCCTTTTGTGATACAAATAAACACCCCCTCATTTCTGTTTGGCAAATTCAGGGTAAGACCAGCTTTTCTTAAAGAAGAGGCTTCGTTTACTGAGCTGCTGAAAAATGTACTAGGTTCCACTTTCAACCAGGTATCTGGTGAGAGCCAAGAATCCCTAGATGCTTCATGGTTTATTCAATAACACCTTGTTCTACAAAGGTTGAACACCTGTAGTCTACAACCCTCTGAATCTAGGATATAACCAAACTTTATCAGGATGACACAATGAAGTCTCAAACTCAAAAATGTGTAGGAGCCAGTGAGTAATGAAAAGGTCTGAAGGCCAGGGACAGGAATATGCACATGACCTGTTTAAAAGGTGAAGCTATAGGCTGACTCTATAATTCAGCAATTAAAGGAGCTGGATCCCAGATGGCCTGTTGTAGTTCTTACCCTGGCCCTA